CCGGACCCGGGACCCGGGACCCGGGACCAGCGTGGGCGGGATGGAAAAGGATCGTTCATGGGCCATCTCTTTGGGCCCGATTGCAGAAAGAAAAATAATTTTTTTATATATGCCATCTATATTAGAAAAAACATTTTTATATAACAATACCAAATAAAATATTTTCAACCTGCCTTGCACCACCAAGTACAGACGTTTTACTTCCAAGTTATGCCCCTCGGGCGCCAATGCCCAAGGTTTTGGGGTTTTTTTAAGTGTCAGAGCCCTTCAGATCGTTCACAGAGCCCAGGACTTCGGGACCTGAGGGGTCGCTTGGTTTAAATCCTGGTGCTGTGTGTGTTAAACTCTTTATGTGTGTGATTACTATGACAGATTTCACCCCCGAAAAACGCTTACATTTTTAATAGCCCCCTATCAACAAGAAACATTACACAGAAGGCAATCATGTTTTTTTAACATTATTTATCTGGGGGTCAGAAAAATGTCAAAGCGATATTTTTGTTTTAAAATTGATATTTAACAGTTTTTATTGACATATAATTCATACACCAACCATGCAATTCAGTGGTTTGAATATATTTTAAAGAGTCGTGCAATCATTACCACAATCAATTTTAGGACCTCTTCTTCATTCTTGTACCCATTAAAGCAATATATATTTTTACATTAAAAAATTTGACATTTCAAGTTACCTTAGAGTCTAGGGGCCCTTTCATTGACGAATGTAATGTTGAAAATTTTGGTGTGAGTTGATGGTGGATTTGAACGCAATGCAACTTTTTCTTTTGTGTCTCTCCAAATGGGGAAGCGTGGTTTACATAATGCGCATATTTAATCAGCAGTGCCCCGCCCATTAAGTGCCTGACAGACAATGGTCTCGGTGGAAGCGGGGGATGGAGCGCTCCCTGGCAGGATCAGCCCCTGGGGAAATGGTGTATATGCATCATTGGAACCGGTGCGTTCGAGTGAGGCCCATATAGGACCACTCACATGTGAAAGGACCCCAGTGGCTTCCTGGGACGCGCACTGGAAGGTTCCCGGCAAGATCGGCAATTCAAACCTACCAGATAAGGCTTTCTGAAACCCAAAGAGGCTCTTATACGATTGCTGTGAATCAGGACAGCAGTGCACTGGGTTTGGTACAAATACTAGGCGTTCTGTAAATGGAGTTTCTTTGTCTAGAAAAATGACTAAATGGAAAAAGACCAAATTGTTGTAAATGCTGGGGATCGGATCATTTTCATTCTCTTAAGTATTAGACTGCTAAGCCCACGAAAGGTCAGCCATTCAAAATCACCAGCTGTCTCATGGGAGAATTAATTCTGACTTATAGTGACCCTATAGGACAGGGTAGAACTGCCCCTGTCGGTTTCTGAGACTCTCACTCTTTACAGGAGTATAAAACCTCATCTTTCTCCCACAGAGCAGCTGCTGATCTCAAACTGCTAACCTTGAGGTTAGCTGCCCGCCGACACATAACCCACTAGGCTAACCTGGCTCCCTGCCTCAGAAACTATATATAGAGGTCACTGTAAGTTAGAATAGAGACTATAGCAGTGGGTTTTTGTTTTCAGTTTTTATGAATTTTCTACAATAAACATACAAAGCCATTATCATCAGAAAGTAGATGTCGTGTGTGTGCCAATAAAGATATACAGAAAGGTGGACATTTTACTTGCTGAGAGCTGGCACTGTGATCCCAAAGCTCGTTCATTTCTCTAACGTTGTTCTGTTTTCTCTTCCTCTGTAATAAACCATCCCCAAACTCAATGCCTTCAAGCAACAACAGTGTTTGTTTTGCTCACAAATGTGTAATTTGGGCAGCCCTTCCAGAGAAAGCTCTTCTCTGAGCCGCTTGGTACCAATGAAGGGCAATGTCAAGACTAGGGCAGCGCCAAGAATCGTGGGAAGGCCCATCCTCTCTTCCATCTAGCTGTTGATGCTGGCTGACGCAGGGCCTGCTCATACGGCTCTGACTTCCTCCCCACACAGCAGCTGAATCCCAGGAGCAGCTATCTCCAGAGAGAAAGGGAGACAGGAAGACGTATCTCCTTGTATGGTCTGGCTTTGGGAGTCACAGAGCTGAATTCTACTGGTCCAGGCAGTCACAAAGGTCTGCTCAGTTCAAGGGGCAGACCCACCTCTCCGTGCAGGACTGTCAGCATTTCGGGCCCGGAGAGCATGTGGGATGGTGTGAGATCATTGTGGCTGTCTTTGGAAGACCCGGTCCCCCAGCCCTCCCCGTGAGTCTGTTCTAGTTTCTTTGTGGGATCTGAACAAGGTAAGATGCATCTTTTGACATGGATGGGTCAACACAAGTCTGGATCCTTTGAGAAATGCTGTCCAGCAAGTTGTGGTTTTATTTACAGATACAGAGAATCCTGTGCACACTCAGTTCCAGAAAGAGAAGATGTGGGGGGAGGTCAGTTCCTTGCAATGGCTGCCAGACTGCTGTCTCCTGCCACTACAGGGGTGGGCCCTGCTCCCTGCTGTTAAAGACAACGGACAGGCCTGCAGTCATCTATTTGGTTTATGTAGGAGGGGTTTGCACCCAACTGATAATGGTTCCTATGGAGACCCAGAGAACAGGTCAAAGTTAAGCTGCCATCCTAAATCTAGGATCCACCCATCTTGTCACATGTGCACCCCCAATCCCTCCTCTTCCTATTGTGTGTATGTCCCTAGACCACCCCCTCACTGCTATATAACCTATAGTGTGACCTCTTCCTGTGACGTATGTCTTTACCTGTAATTAGGGGGCTTGCACGCCCCCCCCCCAAAAGGTATATAGGCCTGGGTTAACAATAGAGGTTTCTCTCGCTGGTCCCGCTAACCTCTCTTGCCCCTCTCCTCTCCTGTCCTCTTTCCCTTCCCCCTCTCTCCACATGGACCACCAAGCTGGGCTGAGGTGAGCAATGCTACCATAAAATGTGTCTGTCTGACTGTATTAATGTGATATCTCTTCTATTGCTCATGCTCTCAATGACTTTTTGTGCTTATTGAACCCGCGACTAGTGGTGGGGCTGGCTTCCCCCCTCCCCTCAACTTTATACTCAAGAAGTGTGGGAGACAGAAGGATTTCTCTCAAGTTGTCTCCCCCAAATATATGCCAGACTTAGCTGCTTGCTACACGTGGCAGATGACTATACACTTGGAGGTCATCAGGAGTGGATTGGGGGTCATTCTCCCTGAGAGCTATCAGCTGTCTAGACCAAGCAGACACCACTGTTTATCCCACAACAAGTAGGGCCCACTCCCTTTTGATAAGGATAGTAGTTGTCTGTTTCCTTGTAGGAGACACCAGAGAGGTCAAACCCGCCCAAGGATGACCAAGGTTAGGCTGCCATCATGAATCTAGGGTCCGCCCATCTTGTCACATGTATCCCCCTAGACCTTCCCATTCCTATGGGCACACCCCTAGCTCATCCCCTTCCTGTTACGCTTATGCCTGTCATAGATCCCCTTCCTACAATGTGTATGCCTATTGTACTGCCCCTTCCTGTGATGTGTGATTCTATAATCATGTCCCCCTAAAATGATATAATGTTTGGTGAGCAATAATGAAGCTCTCCGGAACCCGGGAAGCTCTCTCAGGCTCCTGGGGGCCCAGAAGGCTCTCCCCGATTCCCGGGGCCCTCTCTGGCTCTTGGGCCAGGAGAGGCTCCCCGGTTCTCCGTCCCCAAGGCTTCTCTTGCTCTCATGGCTGGGTTCCCCCCACGAGGACCATCAAGCAGGCCTGAGGTGAGCAATGCTACCATGAATTGTGTCTGACTCCATTTATTCCAATCACTCCTCTAACTCTCATGCTCTCTATGACTTAACTATAATCCTTACGTATCATCGCTGTACAGTTGCGCCTACCGGACCTGTGATGATTTGTGGAGGACCCCTCTCCCCTTAACCCCACAGATGGTGCCCAATGTGGGGCCTGGTAGGAGAAGAACTCTTTTGAGTTATATCCCGTGTAACAATTGTACGGCCTCATCAGACAGAGAGAGTGAAT